ATGTAACAATATCTTTTAAAAATTAGGGATTGAGACCATGCTAACCTCAACAAATTAGTACCTCCAGATTTGTATTCTGGATAAACCACAATTTATTCCTTCTCTACCACACATTTAGATGTGCTTGGTATTCTTTTTGGAGAATTCACGATCAACAGTTAAAAACCTGATAAAAGCATATTAAAGAGCTGTTCTGCAGTATTCTTCCAATTACTTCAAACAATMAACAAGCAAAAAGAAGTTAAGAGTGTTTTCAGCTGTATCTGAAGAATTGAAACTTTAGTTTTATTTGGGAGCAGGGGGATTGTTTGTGTAAGAGATCATGACAAAAGGTAGTTCATCTGTTCAATGCTTAAGCAAAGCAAAAGATCCCAAGGCAACTCCAAAATAATAAAGTTGCTTAAATATTTATGTTTGGTCACCTTGAGAAGTTGAAATAAAGATGAATAAATTTACAACACCAGATTGTTCATCTTAGTTACCAGAAATAATGAAGAGATGATTGTTTTGYTCCCCTCATCCACCAACCCAGTCAGCCACTTCATAAACAACYTGTCTTCAAACAAAATATAATTATTTAAACACTACTATAGCAAATAAAAACCAGGAAATAGTTTACAGGCCGTGGTTTTACCTGAACCATGAAAGTGATCTTTATCAACATATCAGCTTATTGTAATTAAACCTCCAAAAGGTTAAAGAGGGTATTATAATATCAACAAATAATGAAATGATGGAGTATTATTGACAGTTATTTCATTACAACTGGCACATATCAATTTCYAAAGCAGTAAGTCTGCCTGCTAATCGATTCTCCACAAGACCACCGAACACAACACGGGAGAACTTTGTGTGTTCCAAACATTTTGCCAATTAATGCTAACTAATGGGTAATGTTAGGCATTTTCAGGCAAGGTTCCAGATCCTCTAGGATCTGCCCTGAACAAAAGCCATTGGTTTCATTGAGAAAAGACTCTCATYTCTACAAAATTTCCTATCAGTGTAKGACTCTAAATAAGCTATAAGRAATKATTATTTTCTAAGTAATAAACACCTTGCACATTGAAGACAGGCTGCTGTAAGAGACTTGACTCAGCTAGCCACCTTCAGTAACAYTGCCATAAAAGCGAAGGCTAAACACAGAGTTAAGAGTCAGTGYTTTCTGAGACCAAGATTCCATTTTACATATGGCAGAAGAAAYCTAAAGACTGGAGAAAACCATGACCACACTAAGGCCTTRTTTGTTTAAAAKAAACAATATGTTGGATCCCTTTGTCTACAATTTAGAAACCTAAATCTCAATTACATCTAAAGAGGGAAAAATAAAACMTGTATAGGCATCTCAGTTAATAGCAGAATGAGCTGTAACCTTACAGACAGCAAATGTATTCACTGATTTCTGCAACACTTTGAGGTGGCAGGTCTCGTCACCAATTCCAGCAAATGAGCCTATCACTGTCACCCTCATGTGGATACAAACATCATGAGCATCACCCCATTTCCTAAAAACTATCCTTCCAAAGCAATATTGTCCCATCRTACTTCAAAGGTTGAACATCTCTTAATCGAATTAGATCTCAGAAATACAAAACTGCAAGACTATATGTAGGTAGGCCACAGTCTGGCTTCTTACACATGCAAATATGMAAGTATTCATTTTTTAATTCCCAACCCTTCACTAAGCAGACTGGCCATGTGTCTGGTTACATGACCTCTAGGCAGGTCATGTGAAAATTCAATCTTGTACATTTTTTTTATAATCATTTGTATTTCAAATAAGTATTTTATAATTGAAACAACATTACCGCTTGAAGGAATCAACAGAATGTCAAAAGTTTTCTTCATGTTCTCTGTTGGACTTCTATATTTTTGTCTAAAGGGCAATACACGTCAGTTTTAAAGGGTGGAATAGAAGAGGAAACATTCTTCTCCCTAYTTATGATGTATTTTTGGCAGCTTGTTGAATTGACAACGAAAAACACATTACTAAATTGTATTTTCCTCAGCATCATTTCCATATTCTCTAATATTACCAGGAAAAATACTCTCATTATWCTACAAATATAGAAGTAGGGACACAGAAGAGAATTTGTCACAACAAAAAAATAAATTAAAAAATCTAAATGGGCATTTGCCTTTCATTCTTTTAAAATTAAATTCCTGYTCAAGATGCACAAAATTTCAAATCTGGTCTCCTCCTCTGTCTATACAAATTCAGACACAGAGTTCACATGCACCTTTACAATAAATTGAACAACTGGTGCAATACACAGCACAAGTATATTACTCTATTGCCTTCTATTCCTAATGTAACTATGATTACTAATGAAGCTAAAAAAAGAGGCCTCATTGTGGTCCCAAGACAATTCTTGGTGAACACATAACRTATCAGATATTGCCATAGGCAAACAGTGATTAGGTCAAGGGGAAAAAATAATCAATGTCTACATAGTTTTCACTTACCAACATACACAATTCAAAACCTAAATTGTTCCCTTGAGTGCAATGCAGTTATACAACAAGACTTAGTTACTTACAATTTAGCAACTGCTTCTAACGCAGTAAATGTGCTCAATTCATCTTGGGTTTTAAATATGGCTGCCAATGTCTTCAAATAGGTGGCAGTATCTTTATTAGCAATAGGAAGGCACATGGTCCAGGAACCAACTATGCAGAAAAAAATCACGTTTCTATTCACTTGCAGTTTGTCCAATCACTAGTTAATGGGTGAAAGGAAAATGACATCAGTATAGCTATTTCATTGCAATGCCGCTGAATGACTGTGTAGAATTTTCCACAGSCATGTTACTGAAGCTATATGGCAAGAAGTGACAATTGTACAGCACACCAGCTGACTGTATTTCAAGCCTGAATGTGTAAGTAACCTCAGTRAAGGCAAACCTTCGTGAGCCTTTTTTTAGCCTTCCCAAACTATAAATCAAAGTTATGAAACCTCTGGATTTGGATTTTTAAATTCTAGAGCAATTCAAATGTATATGGTATCTTCAATAAAAGTATTTCATTCAATACTTCTGTGTAGAAGAAGGATATATGTCACTACTTTCCTTCTGGTGAGATTCACGCATACAAGTTGAAACAGAATTGTACAGAAAAGAAACAAAGTAAGCTTTGTAAACTCACAATCACTTGTTTTTCTACTGTGATTTGAAACTGCAGGATGTACAGGCTGTCCCACAAAATTCACAAACAAGCAGGCACAGATAACTGGACAGAAGCTACCACCGTGTATTAAACACTGTATCAACACTTCATGCTTCTTTGCATGTTTGTCTTCAGACAAAGTCCACAGAAAACTAATATCCCTAAGTGTCAGACAACAAATGAAGGTGACTGTAGGTCAACTAAATATCCACTGTCCTTATTCCTTAAGCAGCATCAAGGAATTCAGGGTGATTCCCTCCTTATCCTATGGGGACCG